AGTGCAACCCCCGCAGCGTGCAGGAGAGGCTGGGAAGGAAGCATGGCTGCTGCCTCGCAGCTCCTGGAATGCTCTGAGTCACGGCCAACTGGTGCAAAAGGCGCATATATAGAAAAGCAAAGAGGGACAAAGTTTAACTTTAAAGGAGGGAGGAAGTGCTGGTCTGTTAAAGCATTACCTTGGAATCAAGTGTCACTGGTCTCGTATGGGAAAATGTAACAGTACTCAGTAAGGATGTCGCAACTCAACGAGACTAAAAAACTGGGCAATGCCAAGAGAAATCGTGCCAATAGAAAAATAAGTTATTAAACACGTGGCTAGAAAGAACGGTCCAATTTTTGTTGTTATACTTTTTTCTGTCATTGATTGCAATAGACTTTTGCTATCTATGTTGACTCAGCTCTGATACCCACGTGAAAGATGAATGTGTCACCCCTGGAGCTAGTCTTCTGTGAAGTTTGAGTGGCAAAATTGAGGGTTTTAAAAACTGTTTGCTTTATTGTAGTGTCTTCATACTCCCCAATTCCTGTGATATGTGCCATTATGTGCAGCTTGCTTCTCAGAGTTTCTTTAGACCAAAGTCATTGCATAGCATCTCACTGTACTTAGCTGTAATACACTTAACATGCCAGCGACAGACCGTCCCTTTATTCCAGTGGCTCTCCCAGTCGCTTCTGTTTAGCCATACATCACTTTCCAACAGCCTTCCACTAGAAAAATCGCAGCTGGAGAGAATGTTCTCCTCTGAAGTCAGGCAGGTAAGCCACCAGCCAGGCCATTAATTGAGTACCTCATTGCCTGACTGCCACTTTCCTGAAGCAGGGCAGGATAGTTCACCAGGCATGGTGGCATGCCTGCTCCTCTGCTCATCTTTCCTGTCCCCAGGAACATGCTGTGTATTAAGAGGCCTTTATTTTTAATCTTTTACTTCAATTTCTGTTCAAATGCATTTTTTTGCTATGACATTTTCCCCTTTTTGACTTTCTAGTAGTTGCGGTATTCTCATTTGGAAAAGGTTTTCTGAATACTGGGAAGCAGAACAGGCTGCCTGCCTTCAGCTACAGGAGACTGTCATTGTAGAGCTGTCTCAGAAAAGACAGAAATGTGGGTGAATGCAAGCACCAGAGAGTTCCCTGCAAGAGTAGTGCTGACCGAGAGTTTCAACCATTAGGAACCTTGATTTGCATCTGGTAATGTTCACCTCTAAGTACTTCTCTACATACATTGCTAACTGTATGAGATTCAACAAGGCCAA